ACACTAGGTAAGGGTAACGTACTTAGTTCGTACTACTTACTTATTCGTACTAGTCCACATGCCACCACTATCCACCTACTCTGTGACTAGTCTNTCTTCTCTCTCTCTCTCTCTCTCTCTCTCTCTCTGCCCCTTACTGTAATAATATTATGATGATCTTAACATCGCACTAAATGGCAGTAACCAAAAGCAATGAAAGTTTGGTATCAAATTACTTTCTTGATGGCCTGATATAATATAAGTAGAATACGGTACGGTGACATAATAAAATATTATATTTCAAGATTTTTTGTTATCATTTGAGACAAGAGAAAGGCAGGGTGGGTAGGGGTCCATTGCATTTTTGGTTATAAAATGTTTCATTCAACATGTTTCTTGTTTGTGTAGGAGGGAGAATTAGAAGGCAAAAGACAGAGGCCAAGAGCCTCATAGAACCTTCACAGGAGAGGATCAAGGTTTTAGAAATGGGTAGAAGTCCATGCTGCTCTAAAGAGGGCCTCAACAGGGGAGCATGGACTACCCAAGAAGATAAAATCCTCACTGATTACATCAACACTCATGGAGAAGGCAAATGGAGGACACTCCCCAAGAAAGCAGGTTCTCCTATCAACACCACCACCATCATCATCACCACCATTGAGCTTCTTCTTTCTTTCTTTCATCCTAGCTATCATGCATCTTCTTTGCCATCATCACCATCATTAGTGGTCACCGTAATTGCCGCACTCAGTTGTCCATAACAAGGACTAAGGGTCTGGGATTGCTAGGGTCCTGAGCCCGAGTCATGTCTGATGGACTCAGCAGTGTCGGTGAGACACTCGCCTTGAGTCCTAAGGGAAATAGTAATGAAATTGTGAGAACCAGCCAGACTCGCCCTTTCCGGAGGTTTGGTTCTGGAGTTGGTTAGCCGAGTCCGAGTAACTCAGCCAAGTCAGTGTCCGAGTCAGTAGTTATGGAGAAATGAGCAGCCTTAGATTAGCACGGGAGAAATGAGCTGTCTGAAATTATGACATTGATTGCAACTTTTTAAGTCTTCATTCATCATCACATCATGATAATCATAGTACCATGGCCACAAACCTCACCATTATCATAAAAGTATTGGCTCTTGTGAAGGATATTCTCTTGGTTTCGTGGAACCCATGTCATCACCTCGTTCTCTAATAATTCTTGGTGCCCATTTTATCATCTCTGTGTCTGAAAATCATGGCACCCAACTTATTCTCAAGTGATTCATGGGACCCCATTTTTCATAAAAAATTTAAATGGGTTTTGCAGGTCTCAAAAGGTGTGGAAAGAGCTGCAGGCTAAGGTGGCTCAATTATCTGAGGCCTGATATCAAAAGAGGCAACATCTCTGATGAAGAGGAGGATCTTATCATTAGACTCCACAAACTCCTCGGCAACAGGTCCATGAAGCTCTCTTACTAAAAACAGGGGAGAGAGAGAGATCATATTGAAATATAGGAGACTTCTTGAAGTGGGTGTCTCAAAGGTTCCTCATTTTCTACTTGTGCAGGTGGTCTCTAATAGCAGGTAGACTGCCAGGGCGAACAGACAATGAAATCAAGAACTATTGGAATACAAATTTGGGCAAGAAAGTTCAGCAGGGCTCAACAAAGGGGCCAAGCCCAACTTTGAAGAGGTGGGAATCCATGGCGAAGAAAGAGGATGAGAGATCTGACCCAGTCGAGGCTCGAGTGGTTCGAACCAAAGCCTCAAGGTGCACCAGGCTCAAGGCCCCGCCACACCTACTTACACCCATCGTCCCAACTGTTTCCATGACCGAACCTATGGCTCACGAAAGTGAACCCACTCATTGTACAGCTCCAAAAACTCCATCTTTCCCTTCAACCTTCATGGATTTCGACTTAGGAGACCTCTGCATTGACACTCAGTTTATTCAGTCATGTGGGGAGTTGATGTTAGAGAGAAAAGAAGATGAGTTTGATAGACTATCTCTCTCTCCTCAACAAAACCTCTCTCTAGATGGTGGAGAATGGATGGAAGAGGAGTTTGAAGAGGGGAATGCTTCGCATGAGTTTCAATCCTTGGCCGCATTCCTTGACTCTGAGGAGGATTGGCTCACTGAATGAATTACTTACCCTTTGTAAACTTCAGAAATGACTGTTGGAAATTGTAGTTATTACCATCGGAAATGTAGTTATTAACGTCGACCACTTGAAACTATGTACGGTGAATAAAAAGTGGACATTCTTAACGTCTTTGTCGTATTTCACTGTATTAATTCTTTTTTACATTTTCTTGCTACTCAAAAAACAGAGTACTAAGTAGAACAACAGACTAATACACAAGATATAGGTTCACTAGGTTTGTTTGCTTTTTTTTTTTTTTTAATCCCCTTTTCCCCCTAAATGTACATAACAATCTTTGGGATTATTACTGAAATGTATTGGAGGGAAAATCCAACATGTCCTCTACCCAGCAACATGGAGAACAATTACTTTTGGGAAATTTACCAAAATGAACTTAAGAGATGACCTATTTAGTTTTACCAATTTCTTTCAATTTAATTTCGAAAAGTCCAAAAAAAAAGACAGGAGTTAAAATAGCTGAAAATGGATAAAATATTAAATAGTTGATAAGTCGTGTATTTTGGTAAATTTACTATTAGTTTTGTGCCCTTATTTTTTAAAATTAACACAAAGTATTATTGCTTTTGTCCTCTTCTTTAAAATTTGTGACAAGATATAATCACTTATATTTCCTCAAGAAATTATTAGATCATGGACATCATAGAGAGGTTGTCCGCTTTCAAAGAAAACTTATTGCTACTATGGGATGAAAACATCAAGGAGTACCTTTGTATGTGTATGCAACAATAAAGTATGTAGATTCTTGGGACCCACAATCATCTTATCTTAATAAAATAATTCCGCAGATAATAATGTCACGTATTAATTATGATATGGTAAAAATAACTTAGACCATCTATAACATTGTTATCGGCTCGTACCCAGCCATCCTATAGGTAGCGACATGCAGAAAGCTACCCACAAATAAAAGTCCCACAATGTATGTTGCACCTTCAGGTAATAATAGAATTATTGGTAAACAAATTGTTTTGCTATATACATGGCGAATGCCATGTGCTAGGTCTAGGCATTGCAAATATATTAAAATGCCTATGTGTATTTGGATTTCATCATTTTGTTCTTTTGTAAAATTTTAATCCAGCCTTGAATGGCTTTTGCCTCTCAAATAATTGAGGACATGGTTTTTATTATGAGTCTGCTTACTCATATGTGACACATCTTCATGATCCATTTTTTAGATGGGTTTTAGACGTATTTTTGAGATATATATAATTTCTAACATGGGGATCATTAATATAAAAAAATAAAACAAAAAATGATAACTTTTTGAAGAAAATTTTTAAACCATTGGCTTCAATTTTTTTGAGTGACCACTAATTTACATCTATATTTAAGATTGATGTTTTATGTGCTGAGGGATGGAAATTTAGAATTGCATCCTGGATGCATAAAATACTTTTCCAATAATTAAAAGAAGGAACAAAACACTTATTTTTTATATAAGGGGGTGTCAACGATTATTAGTTGTTGGATTTGAAATTAGGTATTCAAGGATGTGTCATTGTTTGGACACAAAGTCCAAAATAAAATTTTTAGGCACAAAATCTAAAATAAAATTTTTCAAATGTTGTGACACATTTTCATCTATTGGATTTCACATAAAAAGGCTAAAAGTGATTATGACCTATTTGTACCAAAATAAATAATCTCATGTAATACTTGAAAGAATGATCAAAACTGAAATCACTTTTTTTTCTTTTGTGAAAATGAAAAAGATGAGGTTTCCTAGTTAAATGGAAGAAACCCAATGATTTATTTTGCGAGTGTTGCCATTTTTGTTTATTAAAATTCGAATCTTTGCAATATAAAAAAATATAAAGCAATACATACCATGCGTGTTGCCCTCACGTGTTAGGTTTTTACCTTTGACTTTTATAAAAGGTAAAAGTTTATATAAGGTTGTAATTTTAAAATTTAGAATCACATATGCACCTCAAAAATCTATCGCAAATGTTGTTTTAATGTTGAATAAACCCTCTAATCGAACATCTCGACATCGTGATATATGAATATGGAAGAAAAAAAAAATTTGAGTCTCGAAAATAGTTCATCTTACAACACATTATCTAGACCGTCCATTTTCAAGATTTTCATATATTTATAGATCTACTTGATTTTAACTATTTTTAGAATTTAAAATTTTCTAATTAGGTATGAAAATAGATTTTAAGATAATACTAAAGACTTTTTACATGTTATGATAAAATCTTAAGAAGTGCGCCTTAATTAGATTGTTTAAGATTGCAACCTCATAGAAACCTCACCCTTTATAAAATAAGACTAGTTGAAGTGTCGCTTTTCGATGCCATAACGGAGATTGTTTGATCTTAGTCACGACGGAGATTGTTTGATGTAGTCACCTTAGCAGTTTCAATCAAAACATGTAGACATTTTGCATTGAATTTTGGTTAAAGTTGAACGCAACCGTATTTAGAGAGAGCCAGAGTGAGAGAAATCGGTAGGTTTTGTGGTGGCAATGAACCCGACCGACGGATAGATCCGACTTTTGGATTTGGGTATGAATTCAAATTTTGGACCTGAATACTATTTAGGTTTGAGTCTGGGTTCAGTCGAACTTGATCGATACCCAATATGTAATCGTAGTCTTAGGATATATGTGACGATAATCATGTGTCTTTAGGCGTGTTAGGTGTTCAATATTGGCAAAAAAACAAAAAAAGCTCATAGCCATACGATGATATATCATTGCTAAAAAAGACAAAAAAAAGTAAAAAGTTATAATCATCAGGTGGCAATGGATCCACAATACCCGAAATCCCTTGGGTAGACCTGGTACCCAATCCGATCAATGGCCACCCCGAGGTAGGTTGCTTTCTCCAAGGGTGCAATGCACCTTAAACTTTACAGAGCAGAGAGAGTACTAACATTTACTTTTAGGTTGCTTTAATGGACCTTAAACTTTGGGGGAGGGGAGAGAGAGAGATGATTGTTATTTTAGAGAGAGAGATATACACATGATTGTTATTTTGGAGAGAGAGATGAATATTATTTGAGAGAGAAAGAGAGAGATTGTCATTTTCGTCATCGACTTCTCACTGTGCTGTCAAACCAGGCCAAAAACAAGAGCTTAAGTCAACATCACACATGCTAAAGTGACTTTACTGATGCAAAGGACCAACTCTTGCCCCTCTAATGCGAGGCATTACAATGTGCACTGTAAACGTCTCCTCTCCTTTCCTTCGTGTTTTCTCACTCCTTTTCTAGTAGCCATTATATTATACTACCACTTGCTTTCATTAAAAATGATTTCCATACTTGATGGTCTAATGATTTTCCCTTTTCAATGGTCCTCAATGTGAAAAACGAGTCATGATCTGATTGAAGCTTTTCCTTATATATATATATAGTTTTGTTAGGGGTGTATATGAATACTCAATATTTTTGGATATATAGATACTCTTTTTTTTTAGTTTAGTAACTTTTTGTTTAGGGATGTTTTAATTTTTAAGTAATTAATCAAAAATAAAATAAAATTTTTTAATAGAAACAAAAATATTTATCAGCAATAGTGGACAATGACATCACCGACATGGTGTCTGACATCACCTTCAAGATGCATTAATTGTTTTTTAATTATTAATAGAATGTCATTATTTGTTTTTATAAAAATATCCATTCGACCTTTTTAAATGATCAAAAATACCTCAATTTAAAAAATTTCTTATTACAATGAGTATTTAAGCGTATAAAAATGTTGAAGATTTGCTATACACTAAAAGTGGTGTAGCCTAACAAAATCCATATATATATATATTCCCACACCTACAAGAACCTTAACTCATCACCATCGATTTCGATTTAAATCTTGCCTTTCCTTTCCTTTCCTTTTTTTTGAATTTTTTAAAAATACAACTCCCTCTCTTTCTCATTCCTAAACTCCCCCTACGCCCTGACACATCTCTCTCTTCTGTCTCTCCCACTTCAATATTTCGGGTTTTCTAAACCCCCATCCCTCTCTCTCCTCCTTTGCGCTTATCTCTCTCCCTCCCTCCCTCTCTCTGCTCTCGCCCCTCTCTTAGTGCTCGAAACCCTAACCCTATTTCCTGGTTCGAATATCTATAACTCAATGTTTGGGACTTTCTATGAACTCCTCTGCTTTGCTTAATGCTTCAACTTTAATGGTGGTGATAGAGATGTTGTGGCTTCAACTTTAATGGTGATCGATATCCAATGGTGATCTGCCCAGCGCTCTGCTTTCGCCCCTCTCTCTTCTCCCATTATCAAATGCAAAACCCTCCTAGCCCTCTGCTCTCGCGCCTTTCTCGTCTCCCTTTATCAAATGGAAAAGCATAAGATAACCCTTGAGAAAAAACCCCAAACCATTATCTGAAGTTCTGGGAAGCTCATTATCTCTAAGAGATTTTCCAGACTGCTTGTTAAAAAATATCAGAAGTTGTCTTCCCATTTTCAGCTAAGTGATCTAAAGCCAGAGAAACCTTCTTTTTTTTTTAGGGTTCACCTCAAATCACAGATCAAGTCCTTATGAATATCCAATTGAAAGTTGTATTGAGGGGCAAATGGTCTAAAGAGAAAACCCTGAATTTCTCACTAAATGAAGGCCATGTAATGCATGTATTGAAAAATCTTAAGGATAACCCTCGTCTTGCAATTGGGTTTTCCAATTGGGCTTCAGAGGCTATGGATGGTAAGCTTAGTTCTGAAGCATACAATTCAATTATTGTTATTTTGGGTAAGAAGGGTTATTCAACTGAGTTTTGGTGTTTGATCAAAAGTATGAGAAAAGAAGGACAGAACATTGAAGAGGAAGCCTACAAAGTCATTTTGAAAAATTTTAATGAAGCAGTTCATTAAAATGAATGTGATTGGAGAAATTGTTTGTTTCGGAACCTGAGTCCAGTTCATTTGATGCCAAAATATGCACTCAAATAGTTCAGTTCATGACTTTTACATGCTTTTAAGGACACTAGCATTGAATATTGAACAGGGTTGGGATTTGTTTCCTAGAGCTATTAAGGCATTTGAGGATTCGGGCCATTCTGTCTCTAAATCTACTGTTGATGGTTGTTAAAAGCATTAGCTAGTATTGGTAAATTAAGTGTGGCCGATAAAATCTTGAAGGCCATAAGTGCAAGTGG